AATCGACATCTAAGATATTTTCACGGCGACAATTTCAAAAATATTAAAAACTAGCAGAATAATTTGTCCGCTATGCTTTGAAAACTTTCAGCGTTTTCACTTATTAACGAATCATTTCAACATCGTTTATAACATTGAGTTGGAAGTAAAGGATCTACAAGTTAAGAAAACGGAAGAATTTTTTTACACGAAAAGCAGATTTAGAGTTAAAAACTAATTCTTTTATATGACGGATTATTATTTTCTACTATGAATGTCAGAAGTAATCTAGCAAAGTCTGTTAGTAAATGTAATATACGAGCTCCTAAAACTAGTGGCAGTATCAAAATGCAAGGAGTCTGTCCTTCACGAATTACAGCTCACTTTGATCATTCTTCCTCAGTGGTACTTGTTCAGTTTATTGCTATTCATGTTGTTCATCACAATGATCTTCGCTGTCAACCTCTGACTACAAAAGAAATGACATATCTAGTTGAACAAATTCACACTGGTCTAACACACGAAAAAATAATTGAAACTGTTAAAAATCTAGAACTCAGTTCATGTACCAGATTTAATCTTCTGACTATGAAAGACATTCCCCACATTGCAGAAAAAATAATATATCTGGTAAATGAAGTAAGGAAAATCTTGTTGTGCATCAGAACATGAAAAATTGCACAAAAATGACTGCATTAGCTTCCATGTACAGTGGGCTGGAGTATATGTTAAAAAAATATGGCGCCAAAATCATTTGTGTAGATGGCACACATGGGACAAACCTCTATGACATTGAATTGACCACAAGTCCATGTGTTAGATGATAAAAATATTGATTATCCAGTAACATTTATTCTGTCCAACTGAAAGGACACCAACATATAAGAGGTTCTGGTTGGTGAAATAAAATCATTAATATCGGTTTTGGTACCCAATTATTTCATGACAGATGATAGTTACAGCTACATATTGGAATGCCTGGAACAATAAATCAGATTCTTACAAAATTAGATTATGTATTAAAAGAAACAGATGAAAATAAATTTATAAGACTGAAGCAAGAGCTGATTAAATTTTTGGTAAAAAGTAAATTTGTGAATTATTTAAACACTTACTACTTTCAAAATAAAGAGCGCATGAAGTCATGGGCCCAGTGTTATCAAAAGAACGCAGGCATTAACACCAACATGCACGCCAAATCTTTGCACAGAGCTTTGAAATACAAATATTTTGGTGGTAAACCAATAGAGGGCTGGAAACATATTTAGACACTTTGAAGAAACTACTGAAGGATACATCTTGGTCAAGAATTTCATCTACTTTATGACTTACAGCTATTCACCATGACCTTTTGGTCAGTAAGTCCCATAAACTTGCCACCCAGATAAGTTTTGATAATGTAGCTAAAGAATCTGCTGTAAAACATTTAATGCACTCACAAACCAAAACTAACTTTCATGAAGTAGAACTGATGGATAGGAAATGTAGTTATCAGACATTAAAATGCGTTGTTTGTCAAATTTGTATACACCATTAAAGAGACTCTTGCTCTGAGTTCTTAATCAAAAATCATCTTTCTAAGCACATGCATCTGGTGTCCATGTATATAAAGGCATATTTAACCACCAAAGGCCCTTGGTCCCACTGGTCATCAATGCGCCTTCAACTTCTGAAAAACAGTTTGAAAATGAACTACATTTGCGCTTATCTAACTCCGTAACATCGCGCAGAACACGCGCTTCTCGATTTCGCACAAACTGTTTGTGCAAAGCTCTTCTACAGCATCTTTTGATCACGTTCCTCATCTTCAAATGTTATGCAAATGCTTCCTTTTGCCACAAAAATTTGTTAAATTTCGCATTCGTGCATTCTTTAATTGCAGCATTGCAGCCGTTGCTAACATAACCTAACTTTTTATGGTCACCAACGCGTGCTAACTTTTTGAAAGGACACACGGGCGCTTCGCCTCCTGCACTTCATTACAAATATACTCCTAAACGTGGAACTTCTTTTTCCGTGGATGATTTAGTTATTGGAATTTGTGCGTGTGTATATCAACAGCCAACCAAAAATTTCACTTGTTATCGCCAGTATCGCCTTGTTATGTTAGTCACATGTGTATTGACGCATGCGTTTTCGATATTTAATCATGAAGCATTTAGGCAACCAGTTATACAGATGCATGTGGTGCTTGTCGTGCTCAAGGACACATTTAGTAAAGTACACATAAAGCGAAAGGCGGCACACATCCATAACCTACTGCGACCCTATAATCATTTATGAAAACCCTGTATTTCTTATGCTTTTAAAAATATTATCTCTTTGAATCAGCATGGTTTTTTTCGTAAAAGGTCAACTATAACTAATTTGTTAAGTTTTACTGATAACGTTATTAAGTCATTTTTGAGAGTGCTGAAGTTCACACTGTGTATACTGACCTCAGCAAGGCCTTTGACAAAATTAGTCATAAAATATTAATAAATAAACTTAGCGCTTATGGTGTCTCTGGTCATCTACTTCTATGGTTTACTAATTACCTTGATAATCGATCCCAGATTGTGAAATTCAAAAATTGCTTCTCGTCTTCACAGATTATTACCTCTGGGGTCCCACAAGGGTCAATTCTCGGGCCTTTGCTTTTTTCCATTTATATAAATGATGTGTCTAATATACTCAAATGTAATTTTAGCCTGTTCGCTGATGACTTAAAAATATTTAAAACTATTAGGGATAGTAACGATATGTTTTTACTGCAAAGCGACTTAGATTCTCTCTCATTGTGGTGTAAGGATAACTTAATGAAATTAAATTATAGCAAATGTCAAGTAATATGTTTTAGTCGTAAAATTCTGGCATCAATTCCGTGTTATGCTATTGACAATAATTCCTTAAAAGTTGTTTCTTCCGTAAAAGACCTTGGTATCATTTTAGACAGCAAATTATCCTTTGTCCTGCATTGTGAATATATTGTTTCAAAAGCTAATAAAGTATTAGGGTGTATAAAGAGATACTGTCATGATTTTAATGATATTCGTACTTCTCTAGTATTATATTCATCATTGGTCCGTTCAGTCTTGGAATATGGGTGCATACTGTGGGATCCTATATATCAGATACATAAGAATAGAATTGAACGCATTCAAAATAAGTTTGTCAAATCTATTTTGTTCAAATTACCACTTAAGGTCTCTCATTCTACTAGTCTTAGTAAATCTTATTTGGGTTTGTCTTTATTAAGTGTACGTCGTGATTTTCACAAAATTTGTTTTATGTATAAACTTCTAAACAATATGTGCGATTCTGACATTCTGAATTCTATTAACTTCTATGTTCCTCAGTTCAATGTTAGACAAGCTCCCTTGTTCTACATTAAATTTAATTTTACGAATTATTTGTTGTTTTCACCACTTAATAATATATTATTTACTTGTAATTCTATTTATAGCAGAATTGATTTTTATTCAGATACATTTCCTAAATTTCAAACTAAGTTAAGGCAAATCTTATTTTAAAAATATTGTAACATTCTCATGTGATTTTATTATTTTTTCTTTGTATTGTTTAAGGATGTTTTTCCGTCAATAAAGTAAGTAAGTAAGTAAGTAAGTAATCTTTAGAATCTCTAGAATCACGAAATATCCGAAATCTTTGAAATTCTTGGAATCTCTAGTGTCTTGGAACATTTGGAATTTTTTAAGTTTATGAAATAGCTAGAACCTTTCAAATTTTTATAATCTTCAGAATCTTTCTAATCTTCAAAGTCTTCAGACATTTTGGAATGTCCAGCCTTTGAAGTACGAATACTTTATAATTTTCGAAATCTTTGGAATCTTCAGAATTGTTACAATTTTTGGAATATTCAGAATTTTCAAAATCTTTGGAATCTTCAGATTCTACAGAAATTTCAGAATCTCCAGTGTCTCTTTTTCGAATTTCTACAATCTACAGTCTCTAAATATCTGGAACTTACGAATATCTGGAATCTCTGGAGTCTGGGAAATCCGGAATTTTTGAAACTTCTGGAACTTTTGGAACGTTAAAATTTTTCTTGTTCACGGAATACCATGTACATTAAGAAAAAAAGGTAAAATAATTACCCCGCCCACGCACCCCATCCCAATTGTGATGATTTTTTTTTATTCTTAGAAACTTAAAACTAGTTTAAAATGGTAATTTTTTGTAAGTAAATAAGGATTTTGCAGTTAAGCTCCGTCCCCTTGGCTCACAACAATAAAAAATACATCGCAATAGAGATAGGGTGGGTGGGCGGGGCTACATTTTTTCTTTTTTTTTTAATATGTATAGACTTATTTCGACAATAAAAAACTTAAAACATAAAAACTTTTTTTTTGGATTTTTTTGGCGGCAATATTATAAAATAATGTGAATTCAAGATATGAAGCAGCTGTTTTATTAGTTGCCTGTGATGTTATTTGTATCTGTGTTTTTTTATCAATAAATTAATTAATTCTTGCAAATTCTTTCCAGGACATTCTATTTTGATTCAGAGTGCGACTTTCGTACGATATTTATATTGAAACTGAATTAATATATTGAATACTTGTTTTATCTATGCAACCAACATTACTCTTAATTTTAAATATTTTGAATAATTGGTTTTAATTTTTTTCATAGAAATTTTGTAACAATTGCTTTATTTAATGTTTTTTGAGCTTCATAGCAGGTAAAATACGATAAAGCAGGTTTACGATTGACGCTCAATAAATTTCTTTATCAAATTTCAAATTTTTCTTACCGCTTAAGCAGTCAGCAAAAATTTCTTAATAATCACAATTACTCTGCAAAAAAGATGCTATTACATTTAGAATTCATCGCTATCGGAATATAATCTCAAGTTTTGACAGTCATTAACAAACAACTTTTATCTTTGTAGCAGATACGTATTTAAAAGTGAAGACACTTACAAGATAACTTTATTAAGTGTGCGGTTTTGATCAAAGCGTCATCGTAAGTTCTCACCGAAAACCAAACCTCGAACTAAAATTCTGCACTTTTTTCAGATGATTCTCGTATACTTGGGCTGCTTGCTCCTAATTCTGTATTACTTATACACCAAAAACTACAGCTACTGGGAATCCAAGGGCGTCCCATTCGAAAAACCCTTCTTCCTTTTCGGCAACTTTGCCAAAATAATCGCCGGCAAACAGCACATTTCGTTCAGGATCCGCGAAATCTACAACAAATTCAACACCCCGTATGTCGGAATCTACATCTTCAACCAGCCAAACCTGATCGTCAGAAGCCCAGAAATCCTAAAGCGAATTCTGGTGAAAGACTTCGACAAGTTCGTCAACAGAAAAATAGCTTTGAACGAAGATGTTGATCCCATTTCGGCTCACACTCTCTTCAGTTCTCAAGACCAGACATGGAAGAACCTTCGGGTGAAAATTTCCCCGGTTTTCACTTCCGGGAAAATGAAGCTGATGCTACCTTTAATGAAGGAGTGTGCTTCGAATTTGGTCAACTACGTGGAGAAACACAGTGGCGAGGTAATTGAAATTCGGGAGACGACGAAGAAGTATGCCGTCGATATTATCTCGTCGTGCGCTTTTGGCATCAATTCCGACTGTTTCAAAGAGGAGAATTCTGAAATTTTGACAGTAGCTACGAGGTTGTTGGATTTCAATTCGTTCGTCCGAAGTTTCTCCATTTTTAGTTTCTTCTTTGCACCCAAGTTCGTCGACATTTTTAGACTGACGTTTGCTGACAAATTCGCCTCGAATTATTTAATCAACGTCTTCAATACCACTATGAAGGAACGAAAGAAGCAAAAAATAGTGCGTCACGACTTGATAGATTTGCTTAACAATTTGAAGCAGAACGAGACCTTCAACGACAACTACAAATTCGGTATTTGGTGACACACTAGTGGTGCATCCCTGATCGTTTCTTTTCAGACGACATCAAAATGGCCTCTCAAGCAGTGTCATTTTTTTCAGCCGGAAATGACACTACATCTATGACAATATCGTTCACATTGTACGAATTAGCTATTAATCCAGAAATTCAAAATCGTCTTCGACAAGAAGTCAGAGAAACTTTCGAAAAACATGGAGACTTTACTTATGAAGCTGTCAATGAAATGAAATATCTGGACATGGTTTTTAATGGTAACAACACCACAATAATGTTACCAACGTAATAAAAAATTTGTGTTTTTAGAAACTTTGCGAAAATATCCTTTAACCACATTTTTGAACCGAAAGTCTGCCACCAAATACACTTTTGAAGAAACCGGGTTCACTCTGGATGAAGACGTTGCTATAACAGTGCCAGTGGGTGCGTTACACTACGATCCAAAATATTTTCCAGACCCGGAAAAGTTTGACCCTGAGAGGTTCAGCGATGAAAATAAACACAAAATAGTACCTTATACGTTTCTACCTTTTGGGGACGGTCCCCGGAATTGCATTGGTACGTTTGTACCAAGACACCAGTAAAGTTGCTAATTTTGTTTTTGTAGGTCAACGATTTGGGGTTCTCGTAAGCAAGGTAGCTTTAGCATATTGCTTGAAAGATTTTGCTTTCGAAAAAGCGGCAGCCACGTCTGTACCTTTACAATTTGAACCACGGTCGCTATTTATGGTAAACAAGAAGGGACTGTACTTGAGGGCTGTCAAACTCTGAACTGTAGTCGTTGTTTGTACTTAAGCATATTTCTTGTCGCTTTAGAAAGTCTAGAATTAAATAAAGGTTTTATGTCGATCGTTAAAGAAGCAATTTATTAGTCGTAATTCCTTCCACGGTTTTTATTTGCGCCATGAATCATTGAACAACTAATTTAAATAAAAGTGTGCTTCCCTCCGTTCTTTAGTTGCTATCGATTACGTCCTACACGACGCAATAAAATGAAAGTTTATCCATCTGTGCGTTATAACGAACTTGGGGAAAAAAAGATCGTCAAATTATTACAGCCGATTTGTCAAGTAATGGGATTAGCGACACCGGATCTCTTCAATTACAGAGGCGTAGCGGTTTTTTTCATCCTATATTCACTTTTAATTTGTCTAATTTTGCTTGCTTTATGTGCCTACGCCATATATTTCAAAATGGGTTATTTTTATAACCAAATAATCGTAACCGCCGCAGTTTTAGACATAACTAACACCCTAGGAACGACCGCCACAACTATCCTATGCGTCCTTTTTTCAGTCACCTTTCGCCGAAAAAAAATCGTCCAACTAGTGAAAAATCTAAAAGAAATCGAAAAATCGTTGAACGAAAAATTCGACGTCGTGTGCCACTTGGAGGACAAAGGACTGTTGATCCAATTCGTGTGTTTGGAAATCATGGTTTTCACATACATAATTTTTGACACCGCTTTCGAGATATACATAAACGGTGCACTTCACTACAGTTGGTCTATCATCCTCCACGTTAACTTGTTCATGATTTCGTTAATAGTGGTCCAAGTCCAGTTCTTTTCCACCACTATCAAACAATATTTCGCGTTTATGAACGACCGATTGTTACTAATACGCAACTGTGGTGGAAAATGGGACCCCGATTGCAAATTCAAAACCGTCAACATGAAGTTTTTCCTGAAAGTGTACGACAAACTGTGTGACGTCATCGATTTAGTTGGAACGTCATACGGGATACAAATCGCCGCAATCAGTTTCAATATAATCATGTGTTTGATCGGGAGCTTGAACTTGCTGATGAAGTTTGCCCTAGGAAACGATTTGCACGTGGAAGGGTGGAGGTACGGTCTACTGGCGGCGGATACGTGGAACTCGATCATTTACATCGTAAGACTGTTATTATTGTTATCAAGTTTTTTATTTGTGACTCGATTGTAGGTTTTCGGGTTTATGGTGGCCATTTGTTGTTCAAAAGCCTCCACCGAAGCTAACAATACCTCAATAATTTCTTACAAAATCCTCCTAGACTTTCCGTCATCCCCGAAAACCCACTACGAAGAGGTGACAAAAAACGAATTAATGCTTCTCGCCGAACACTTGAATCAGAAAAAGCTGATTTTTTCAGCCGCCGGGCTTTTTGCGGTTGACCACACTATGTTGTACATGATTTTTGGGTCCATCGCTGCGTATCTTGTCATTGTGTTACAGTTTAAATAAATGTTGTGGTGTTTATGTTTAGCCCCGCCCACCCACCCTATCTCAATTCTGATGATTTTTTTTATTCGTCGTAAGCCAAGCGGGCGGAGCTTAACTGCGAAATCCTTATTTCTCTACGAGAAATTAAAAATATTTTTTTGAATATCGTACTGTTTAAAATATTATGTATATTAATAAAAAAATAAGGGCATAAATTAGGTACCACCCATACCCGCCCCGATCTCCATCCTCAGTTGTAATGAATTTTTCATTCGTTGTCAGATCCAGAGGCGGGGCTTAATTACAAGATACATATTTGTTTAGAAGAATTTATCATGTTAAACATGTTTTAAGGTTCTTGTTCTGAAAAGACGACTACGACAAAGCAAAATGTTAACCCCGCCCACCCGCCCTATCGCAATTGTGATGATTTTTTTTATTCGTCGAGAGCTAAAGGAGCGGAATTTAATTACCATAGAAGACATGTTTTTGAGTATCGTGTTGTTCAAAAAGTTCCAGAAATTTCAAAAATTTCCGAGACTCTAGAGAGATTCCAGATATTCCTAAAGTTCCAGATATTTGGAGACTCAGAAGATTCTAGAAATTCTAAAGATTCGACAGATTCGAAAGACTTTGGAGATTCTAACGCCATTGAAAATTATCAACATTTCCATAACAAAGATTCCAAAAATGTCAAAGACTCCAAAGGTTCCCAAAATTCTAGAAATTTTAAAAAGTCGAAAGCTTCGAAGCTTACGAATTCTCTGAAGATTCCGAAGATTCTGAAAATTCCAAAGATTGTGAACATTCCGAAGATTCCCAAAGTCCTAACAGTTTTGAAGATTCGAAAAAATCAAAAGATTATAAAAGTTTTAACGTTCCAAGAGTTCCAGAAATTTCAAAAATTCCAGATTTCCCAGACTCCAGAGATTCCAGATATTCCTAAAGTTCCAGATATTTGGAGGCTCTGGAGATTGTAGAAATTCGAAAAAGAGACTTTGGAGGTTCTGAAATTTCTCTAGAATCTGAAGATTCCAAAGATTCTGAAAATTCTGAATATTCCAAAAATTATAACAATTCTGGAGATTCTAAAAATTTCGAAGATTATAAAGTATTCATATTTCGAAGGCTGGACATTCAATAATGTCTGAAGACTTTGAAGATAAGAAAGATCCTGAAGATTATAAAAATTTGAAAGGTTCTAGCTATTTCATAATTTAAAAAAATTTCAAATGTCCAAGACACTAGAGATTTCAAGAATTTCGAAGATTTCATGATTCTAGAGATTCTAAAGATTCTGAATATTCTAAAATTTCTGAAGATTCTGAAGATTTTAAAACTTATATACCAAAAATTATAAAGATTCTAAAGGTTCCAAAAATCCTAAAGATTTTAAATATCCTAACGATCCAAAAAACTCTAAATATTTTAAAGATTCTAATCTTTCTGAAGATTCTGAATAATTCGAAAACTGAAGATCCCAAAAAATGTAAAAATTTTGAGGTTCCGAAGAATCTGAAGAATATGTTGTAGAAAGATTCCAAAGAACTCAAAAATTCCAAAGATTCCAGAGGTTCTAGAAATCTTAACGAGTCGAAAGATTCTAAAGTTTCTAAAGATTTAGACGATTCTGGTGATTTTGAAGATTCTGAATTTTCTTTTGCTTCTCAAGATGCAGAAGTTTCTGAAAATTCTGAAGATCCTGAAGATTCAGAAAATTTTGAAACTTCTGAAGATTCCAAAAATTCCGAAAATTCTGAAGATTTCAAAGATTTTACCAATTGTGGAGATTCTGAAGAATCTAAAATTTATAAAAATTCCATTATTCCAGAAATTCAAAAATTCTGGATATTCCGAGACTCTAGAGATTCCAGATATTCCACGAGTTCCAGATATTCGGAGACTCTAGAGATGATTTCAAAGGTTGAAAATTACAAAAAAATAACACTTTGAAGCTTCCGAATCTAGCAAAAATTATGAAGATTCTAAAGGTTCCAGAAATTCCGGATATTCCGAAAATTTCAAAGATTCTGGAAATTCTGAAGATTCTGGAAATTCTGAAGATTCCAAGGATTCTAACAATTCTGAAGATTCTAAAAATCCCAAAAATCCTACAGATTTTAAATATACTAGCGATCCTAAAGACTCTGAATATTTTAAAGATTCTATCTTTCAGAAGATTCTGAATAATTCGAAAACTGAAGATTCCAAAAAATGTAAGAATCTGAAGAATATGTTGTAGAAAGATTCCAAAGATCTCAAAAATTCCAAAGATTCCAGAGGTTCTAGAAATCTTAAAGAGTCGACAGATTCTAAAGTTTCTAAAGATTCCGAAGATTCTGGTGATTTTGAAGATTCTGAAAATTCTGAAGATCCTGAAGATTCCGAAAATTCTGAACATTCTGAAGATTCCAAAAATTCTGAAAATTCTGAAGATTTCAACGATTTTACCAATTTTGGAGATTCTGAAAAATCTAAAATTTATAAAAATTCCATTATTCCAGAAATTTCAAAAATTTCAACAATTCTGGATATTCCGAGACTCTAGAGATTCCAGATATTCCAAGAGTTCCGGATATTCGGAGACTCTAGAGATTAGAAAATTTTCAAAGATTTCGGATATTCCGGGATTCTAGAGATTCTATAGATTCTGAATATTCTAAAATTTCTGAAGATTCTGAAGATTCTGTAGATTTTAAGAATTTCAAAGGCTGAAAATTATAAAAAAACTGAACACTGTGAACATTCCTACTATAGCAAAAATTATAACGATTCTAAAGGTTCCAGAAATTCCGGATATCCGAAAATTTCAAAGATTCTGGAAATTCTGAAGATTCCAAGGATTCTAACAATTCTGAAGATTCTAAAGATCCCAAAAATCCTACAGACTTTAAATATACTAGCGATCCTAAAGACTCTGAATGTTTTAAAGATTCTAATCTTTCTGAAGATTCTGAATAATTAGAAAACTGAAGATTCCAAAAAATATAAGAATCTGAAGAATATGTTGTAGAAAGATTCCAAAGCTCTCAAAAATTCCAAAGAGTCCAGAGGTTCTAGAAATCTTAAAGAGTCGACAGATTCTAGAGGTTCTAAAGATTCCGAAGATTTTGGTGATTTTGAACATTCTGAATTTTCTTTTGTTTGTCAAGATTCAGAAGATTCTGAAAATTCTGAAAATTCTGAAGATTCCGAAAATTCTTAAAATTCTGACGATTTCAAAGATTTTACCAATTTTGGAGATTCTGAAGAATCTAAAATTTATAAAAATTTTATGATTCCAGAAAATTCAAAAATTTCAACAATCCTGGATATTCCGAAACTCTAGAGATTCCAGATATTCCAAGAGTTCCGGATATTCGAAGACTCTAGAGATTAGAAAATTTTCAAAGATTTCGGATATTCCGGGATTCTAGAGATTCTATAGATTCTGAATATTCTAAAATTTCTGAAGATTCTGAAGATTCTGTAGATTTTAAGAATTTCAAAGGCTGAAAATTACAAAAAATCTGAACACTGTGAAGATTCCTAATATAGCAAAAATTATAAAGATTCTAAAGGTTCCAGAAATTCCGGATATCCGAAAATTTCAAAGATTCTGGAAATTCTGAAGATTCCAAGGATTCTAACAATTCTGAAGATTCTAAAGA